ATATTGCACATGTTGGGTGGAAAAAAGTGTCTTGAAACTCCCTTGGATCATCCTTTGTAACAAAAGTAAAAAAAAAAAAATTGTATAATTTTATTTTACAAGAAATTGAGATGTTTATGATTACTAGATTTCTTTTTGTAAATCTGAATATAATTTAAAATGCTTACTAAGTTTAAAATAATATAATTAATTAACAGTTTTGTTATACAAATATTTGAAAATTAACATAAATTATTGAATAATTTATTATGATTAAATATATTATTGTCTGAATAAAATAATAATAATAATAAAAAAATCTACTGCTATATATACAGGTGTAACATCATACCCTAGGACTTTAGACTATAAACGTTTTAAAGAAATAAGTATTGCTAATGATTCGTATCTTATGGCTGACATGTCTCATATAAGTGGATTAGTTGCTGCTGGAGTCATTCCATCACCTTTTGAATATTGCGATGTTGTTACTTCAACTACACATAAAACATTAAGAGGACCTCGTGGTGGAATTATATTTTATCGTAAAGGTTTGTCTTACTTTAATTAACAGGGATGTACAAAATCCAAAATCTATTTTAATCAGTAAACATACACTAAAAGATATTAATAATTACTAAGATAGTAAAACTATTTTTTACATTTTTCTACATTTGAATTACTAATTTTGAAAAAAATAGTAGTAGTTTAATATTGTACTGATTTATAATAATAATTATTATGTATCAGTAATTATTATACTTAAAAATATTTTTCTTATTAATGTATTTTATTAACTCTGGATTTTTGCTCAACTTGAGACGTAAATTACTTATTATTTTTTATAAATATCAAAAATATATATTTATACATATAAGTTATGATTTTTTGACAAATCAAAAACTTTTCATCTACTAAATATTTTGCGTTATTTTTTTTTTTTAATAATTTGTATAATTTGGAACTACAATTAAAGAATATTTTTTAAATTTTAATATGTATAATAATTTTATAATAAGTACTTATTTAGTTAAAAGTTGACTTAGTTTTAACTCATAATTCCTTTATCAAAATTTTTTTATAAAAAAATTTGATAAGAAATAGATTTATTGAAAAATATTTTTTATTTTCAGTCTAAAACTGTAAAAATAATTTTAAAAAAATAATCCAAAAAATATTTATTAAATTAAAAGTTATTAGATATGTGTTTAACATCATGGGCCACTCCGTATATACATATAAATTCATTTCTTTTTTAGGAATTAGATCTGTCACTAAATCTGGAGAAAACATAATGTATGATTTAGAAGACCGTGTAAATGCAGCAGTTTTTCCAGGATTTCAAGGAGGACCACACAATAATGCTATTGCTGGCATTGCAGCTGCTATGAAATTAGCAACCACTCAAGAATTTAAAGATTATCAGAAACAAGTTTTAATTAATTGCAAACAACTAGCTGAATCGCTAAAACAATTTGGGTATAAAATAACTACTGACGGCACTGATGTTCATATGTTATTGGTTGACCTAAGACCAATAAATTTAACTGGTTCTAAAGCAGAGTATATATTGCAATCAATAGAGATTGCTTGTAACAAAAATACAGGTGATTGTTTTAACATTTAAAATAATGTTTTTTTTTTACTTAATTTTGATATGTTTTAGTTCCTGGTGACAAAAGTGCTATGAATCCATATGGAATAAGATTAGGAACACCAGCACTTACTACAAGAGGCATGAAAGAAAATGATATTATGGTGGTAGCAGAATTAATTCATAAAGGTTTCATAATATTTTTAATTAATTTTCTTTAATGAAAGTTGAACTATTTTGTTTTTTAACAGGTCTGTGTATAGCATTAGAAGCTCAAAAAATATCAGGTCCAAAATTGGCAAATTTCAAGAATATTCTAAGTTCTGATCCAAAATTCATTGAATCTTTAAAGATTCTAACTAAAGAAGTAGAAACTTTTGCAGAACAATTTTACATGCCTCAATGAGTTAATATACATAATCCGATATTTAATCTCATTTTGAGATTAAATAATCATAAAACTGATTTGTATACACTACAACATTATTATTAGGATAACAAATTAAAATTGTTTTATATTTTGTTTGTTTTTATTAAAATAAAACATATTTTTCACAAATATTAAAATATTCTATTTCATCTTCTTCAACTTTAATAAATGATCACGTAGTTTTAACTGAAAAAGAAATATTTTGTTATAAGAAATTTAAATTATGTAAATTGGAAACATCACAAAGATATACTTGTATTATGATAATACCTTAAAAACTTTATTCATCCTTTTAAAATGCTAAGTTTTTATTAGACTCAATTTAACCAATAACTATAAATTACCAAATTAATTTTAAGCTTTTCAGACCCAATTTTTATTTTTATTTAAAATAACTCAACATTAATTTTTTAATAATTGATGACTAGGATAAAATAAACATGATTTTCAGAAAAATCTATTTTTCAATTTTAATTTTTGAACTCTGGAAAAAAAATTTACTCTAGTTTTATTGCTTAAATAATTTTATATCTTTCGAGTAAAACTATCAAACATATCCGTCTAATGAATCTCTATAGTTGTTTCTGCTGTACAATACTGTCAAAAATTAAATTTTCAAAAAGAAAAAAATGCTAATCTGATTGTTTCAATTAGGCCTTTATAATTGCTTTCTGCAAAAAAATCTAAAATCCAGTAATTTTTAAATAACATTTGATTAATGGTTTTCTTTCTCTTATGTAGAGAAAATTTATAAGATTGAACTTTTTTTTAAATAATATAAAAATTTTATTGTTATGTCAAATAAAATTTTATTTATAGCACCATTTGTATATTTTTATTTCATTAACTATAAGCTTCAATAAAACTACTAATGACTATTAAGTGATGCTCACAAGCAATGCATTTAATATTATCTAAAATATGTAAAATAAAGTATTTTAACTTTAATATTTTTGATTTTAAATTGAAATGCTGGATTTATAAATGATTATATAATAATACTCATATATAATAGTAAGCGAACAATTCTTAATGAGTTAGAAACTATTCAAAAGCACAACAACAAAAAATACTTGTTTAAATCAACCCAAATTTTTACCTGCTTATCTTTGAATGATTTTTTTACTTTGCCTTTAGCTTTATGTTTTATCATCATAAAGTTTTTATTTTTATTTTTTTCTCTATTTGTTTTACTTGAAAAAGGATTAAGTCTGCCATCTTTGTAACCAAACTTTTCTCTGTCTTCTTGCCCTTTCTATAAATAAAAAATGTAGCTAATTCATATATATATATATAACAAAAATTTATATTTTTTTAAAATTAAAAAATTCCATAGTTATAAAGTTTTAATTTTTAGAAATCACTGTTTTAAATACTACTTAATGAGTAGTACTCAGACATCTTTAAAAATAAAATAATTTATTAATAATACCTTAATAGACTCTATCCTAGTTTGTTTATCATGTTTCCTTTTTTTATAAATATTTTCGATATCTTTCAATCTAACTAGTTCACCTCTATAAAAACAAATAAAAAATGAAAGTGAAAATCATGATATATTGAAAACTTATAATACTTAGATGATTCATTAGGTTCAGCAGGTCTTTTTCTATTTTTGGCTGTGGTTATTTGTTTACTAAGTTGAGCAATTTCTATTCGTTTAAAATCTTCATCGGTCAATATTCTCATAGAACTCACTTTTGCAGCTTTTTCTCTTTTTTCAGCTATTTGCTCTTTTTTAGTTACTTTTTTAACTGTTTCTGTGTTATCTGTTGCTGAATTTTCTAAAACTAAATTTTGATGGGATTCATGCAATTCTTCACCCGATTCATTTTCTTGTTCATCTTCATCTTCCTGTTCATTTTCATCTTCAGAATGGCTAACATTAACCCATTCATCATCAGAGTTATCCGATTCATTACATGATTCTACTTTGTCAGTCTCGAGAAGTACTTCAGCTCCAGGTACAAATTCTTTAGCATCAATTTCTCCAAACTTTCTAGCTACAATTTCCATGGTAGCTTCAGTAGGTCTTCCCTGAAATCAAAAATTTATCCATTGTTAATGTTAATATATATATATAAAAATATGTTGTAGTTATTTTTTTATATAAGAAAAATCAATGTAATTAAGGTAATTTGACATACTCTATCTTTTTTGTGTAGTAAATGTGGCATTGATGATCTATAAACATGTATTAATGATTTAGCTGCCATCATAACACTACGTTCTCTGTAATTTTTATATTGAGCAAGATCTTTTAATAAATCTTCTGTCATGACCAATGGAGCTCTTGCACACATTTCTCGAATAGCATTTAGTCTATGAAAAAATTTCATAAATTAAAAATTATATCTAATAATAATAATAATAAAATTCAAAATTAGTCATTAGCCAAATTACTTTTGCTTTAGATTAGTATAACTTTATTTCATAGCATTTTGAAAGAAGAAAAAAAATTTGAGTTTACAAACTTAGTTTTATGTTTTTATGTTGCAAGTAGGAACATAAAATTTAGTTATAGTAAAAATCATTATTTGATTTTTATTTGATAGTCTCAAATATATCCCATTATATATAATATGATTTTGTGAAATCAGTAAAAAAAAATGTATGTATGTTTGATGAATATTATTTAAATTATGTAAATTAAGGTAAAAATTTTAAAATTCATTTTTTTAGGTACATATTTAATTAATTAAACTATCATCTATAATATCAAAAAGAAATAATTTGCAAATTTGATAATTGATTATTTTATTAAAGAAACAATTTAAGTTGTTTTTCTTATAAATGTTTTAATTATTATTTATCTCTTCGGTACTACACTTATTCTTTATTAGGGTATAAATTATATTTTTTTAATAATATATATTTTATAATTGAAAACTATTTATCTAGGAAAATGACTTATTAACTATAATTTTGATGTTATTAACATCATCTCTTTTTACACCAGCTGTTGACCTGTTATAATCTTATTATAGCTAATGGAGCCAGAAACCATAGGTAAACAGCACAGCTAACATCAGTATTAAATCTGATTAATCTTCTACTGTGTCACAACTTTCCAATTTTGAAGTTATTAACAATTCAAAATATAGATTGAGAAATGAGTAATGATTATTATAATTTGTATTAAGTATATTTTATTGCTATTCTATTTCCTGCCTAAAGTAAAACTATTCATATCTTATGAATATAATCATACAAATAATGTATAAAATTCACCTTTTTTTAAATAAGATTACTTTTTTAACAAGTAAGCTAGTTAAGGATGTATATTACAATTTAGAAAAATAGAGTTGATACTGTTATGTAGTTTTAAGGTTAGCTAATGACCAGTCAAGGCCTTCTGTTATATAAAACAAAAAATATAATTTATATTAAATTAAAAATCTTACCCTATAGCCATAACATCAGATGAATTTCTTTCTGTAACAAAATTATTAACTAAAGCTCGTAAGACAGGTTCTAATATATCAGGTGGAACTAGCTCATGAGATGATTGAGCAACAAATTGCATCATTTTCACTACCTCTGTAAAATAAAAAGTACAATAATAACCTGAACTGTAAAATATTTAGAACTTTTATAAATACTCTCCATTTTTTTTTTACATATAACTTAACGTAAATACTTATAACTTGTGTTTAATACTATTCTAAATTAAATAACATCCAAATTACCAAATTTAAGAATAAAAAAAAAAAGTATAATAAAAAATTGTTGACATTTATTTAATTAATAATTAAATTTTAGATTTGTTAGCTTCGATGCGAAGCTGAGAAGGTATTGGTTTTACTAAGATGTGTTTTTTTTTTTTTTTTTTTTTTTTTTTTCCCCTTTTTTCTCAATTTTTTTTAGTCATGTGTTACAGGAAATTTCAATTTATGTATATTTATATATGATTCAAGGTAACATTTATATCTAAGTTTTTTCTTAATTAATAAAATGATGCTTGTTAAGACTTCGACAAAGTGTATCTAAATTCAAAGAAAAGTTTTCAAATATGAACATTAATTACTCGAAATCAGTTTACCTGTCACTGTAATTTATAGTGATNAATTTTTGAAATTTTTGAAATTTTTTTTACTTTAAAGTGCCATAACTTTTTCAAAAATGAACATATCAATATAATTTTTTTTTATATAGATGCATAATGTCTTTACCTACCATTTGATGTATTTTTTTTTATAAATTTAACCCTTTACCTGCCCACAGGGGGGGATTTAAAATNTATAAATTTAACCCTTTACCTGCCCACAGGGGGGATTTAAAATGACAACTTTTTCACAAAAAATTAACTTTTTCAACTTAACTTTTGAAAATGTTCCGGAAGGTCTGACACTTTTATATATATCTTAAATTAAAGCTAATGTAATGTTCTTTATTATGCAAAAAAAAAATTTCGGACTTTATTTTATCTTCACGGTGAAAATGGCTACCGAAAATTTTCGATTTTGTATTTTACATTTTTAACTTTATTATGCTATAACTTTTTGAAAAATGTATGGATCAGTACAATTTTTTTATGAGGAGTAGTATTCATATACATCTTTCATTTGACATACTGTTTTTTTAAATCGGACCATTTCCCTATATACAAGGGGGGTTCAAATCTAAAATATGCATGTAAAAAGTAGAACTTTTTCAACTTAAATTTTGAAAGTGTACCGGAAGGTCTGACACTTTTATATATATCTTAAATTAAAGTTAATGTAATATACTTTATTATGGTAAAACAAAATTTCGGACTTTATTTTATCTTCATGGTGAAAACAGACATCAAAATTTATAAAAAAAATACGATTTTTGTAAAAAAATTCTTTTTTATATTTTTAACTTTATAATGCTATAACTTTTTGAAAGATGTATGGATCAATATAATTTTTTTTTTATAGATGCATGATGTCTTTACTTATCATTTGGTATATATTTTTTGTAAATCTGACACTTAACCTGCCCACAGGGGGGGATTTAAAATGACAACTTTTTCACAAAAAATTGACTTTTTCAACTTAAATTTTGAAAGTGTTCCGGAAAGTCTGACACTTTTATATATATCTTAAATTAAGCTAATGTAATATACTTTATCATGAAAAAAAAAAAATTTCGGACTTTATTTTGTCTTCACGGTGAAAATGGCTACCAAATGCTATTTTTGTGTGAAAATTTTCGATTTTGTATTTTACATTTTTAACTTTATTATGCTATAACTTTTTGAAAAATGTATGGATCAGTACAATTTTTTCATGAGGAGTAGTATTTATATACATCTTTCATTTGACATACTGTTTTTTTAAATCCGACCATTTCCCTATATACGAGGGGGGTTCAAATCTAAAAAATGCATGTAGAAAGTAGAACTTTTTCAACTTAAATTTTGAAAGTGTTCCGGAAAGTCTGACACTTTTATATATATCTTAAATTAAAGCTAATGTAATATACTTTATTATGAAAAAAAAAAATTTCGGACTTTATTTTATCTTCACGGTGAAAATGGCTACCGAATGCTATTTTTGTGTGAAAATTTTCGATTTTGTATTTTACATTTTTAACTTTATTATGCTATAACTTTTTGAAAAATGTATGGATCAGTACAATTTTTTCATGAGGAGTAGTATTTATATACATCTTTCATTTGACATACTGTTTTTTTAAATCCGACCATTTCCCTATATACGAGGGGGGTTCAAATCTAAAAAATGCATGTAGAAAGTAGAACTTTTTCAACTTAAATTTTGAAAGTGTTCCGGAAAGTCTGACACTTTTATATATATCTTAAATTAAAGCTAATGTAATATACTTTATTATGGAAAAAAAAAATTTCGGACTTTATTTTATCTTCATGGTGAAAATGGCTACCAAATGCTATTATTGTGTGAAAATTCTCAATTTTATTTTTTACATTTTTAACATTATAATGCTATAACTTATTGAAAAGTGTATTGATCAATATAATTTTTTTATGGGAAATACTATTTTCTAATAATCTCTTTTTTATTCGACATACTTTGTCTTAATCAGGATATTAATAAGGAACTAGCAGTTTATGAAGCTTTTGGAATAATCCACCAATTTTTTAAAATTAAACACTATCTAAAGATTTGCATCGAAGCGTTTTTTTTTTGATAGTGATTTTAATCACTGTCAGATATCATTATACTTGATCCATCTATGTCACGTCACCACTGTGCTGGGTTTTTTTTTAATAATTTATATACTATCACACAATAACACTCATGTTATTTCTTAAGTAGATAACACAAGAAATTTAATATAGCTTCTCATATTAGAAGGATTATATGTGGGAAATCTCCAAAAAATTACAATTTTTAAAATCAATAAATTTTGACATTATTTTTCCTTAAAATTGCCATAACTTTTTGAAAAATAAATATATATATATATATATTTAAGAATATATATATTATGTACTTAATATAAAATAATTGTAATTAAGTTTCAGTCATAATTTATGACTGATGAACTTATTACATCTTATTATTATTAATATTTTTATTCATTATTTCTGTATATTTTCACATTCCTATAACAGCTTGGTCAGATGTAACATAATCCTCAATATTTTCTAAAATTAGATCATTTAATTTTTGAATAAGGAGTTCATCAACATTTTTTTCTTTTATTCCAATTAGTAAATACTTGACATTTAAATCCAGAGTCCGATAGTTAAAAAAATAAAACATCTTATTTTTTCAAATAACATGTGTGAATCTATTTATTATAAATGTAAGTAAATCTTTCTTAGTTGATTGAAGATCAGGGTTAGGTGATTTAGTATTGGGAACACCAAATTTTCAATTATGTAAGTATAGTATTCAAAGGGAGGGACAATGTGGCAGTGCTCGATGTACATTGTCTTGGGTTTGAAACTCAGTCACGAATGGCTTCATTTTCTGATTGAAAAATCAATTCAGTAATTGGAGCCACTATCCCTCTCTTTGGCGACTAAAAAAGAGATGAAGGTTTCCTATTGAATGCGATATGAGGACAGCTGATGTGAGCCTAGATGATGTGGGAGATCGTGTCAAGTGGAAGTTTAGGATAAGGGTGGCCGACCCCAAGTAGTTGGGATTAAGGCGAGGAAGAAGAAGATCCCTCTTTTCGACGACAGTCTAACCGATTGTAACAAAGTATAAATGTTTAAGAAACCTTTTTCTTTGAGTGAAGCTGCTATGGCCCTTAATAGATTTTTATTTAAAAAGTATAGTATTCACTATATTTAAAATTAAAACTATATTAAAAATATTAATTTAAAAATAAAAAATATTTAAATTAAAAAGCCATAAAATTAATCAACTGAATCAATTGACAATTGAAGTCCATCAAAGGTCAATTGAAAGTATTTTTTAATGTTGATGGTTAATAGTAAGAGTAATTAATAATTTTGTGTTTGTATTTAACACTTTAAAACTGTTATAATGAAAAAGATATTTATAAAATTGAACATGAATATTTCTGTACCTTTTTGATGAGGTTGTAAAAATCTTTGGACATATGGATAAAAGTTAAACAATATTAACTGATGTAAGCCTATTAAACGGGAAACCACATCTAATGTTAACATTTTAACTTCGAAACGTTCATGTCTTTTTTCTAATTGATGAAATAACTTTTCTGCAAAACCTTGAGGATCGTGTATTAATGTTAAGGCAGCAAAATTAGATGATTGAGACAGCTGTTTTTTCTTCCTTTTATTTTTCTACAAATATTTTAATGTTATTTTTTTTAAATAAGATAATTTTATTTTAAATATAATACCTCAACTAATTTTTTCACTTTTTTCAAATTTTTTTGTCTTTTTCTGGTAGTTTTACTAACTTTATTGGCCATTATTACTTCTCGTGTATTTGGTCCTTCCTACATAAAATAAATAAAACTTCATAATAATACTTATTATTAATAATAATACTCCTTATTATAATAACACTCTTAAAGGGATTATAATAATCCCTTTAGTTTGACAAACTAATTGACTTAGATAAAATTTAGCTTAATTTGTTGATACTAGTTATGTATTTCTAAAATTAAAAATAGTTTACTGATAGTAGTAAGATCCATTTCTTACACTTTTTAATTTATTTTGCTCATATACATAAAAAAAAAATTAAACATGTATTTTCAAATAAAATAAAATTTCACATTAATTATTGTAAAAACAAATCTAGGATATTATTAAATATAAATCAGTATTTATAGTATATAATTAATGAATAGCCTTCAATTACATCATCAGAACTAGAAGAGTCACTATCATCAGAAGAATCATTTGTATCAATAGTGACAAAAAATTTTAAAGCGGCTACCATAACTTTTGTAATTTTTGAAAAGCAGCCAGTTGAAATTACATTGACAGTTTTTGTATCTTTCCAGATATTTTTCTTATACAAGTCAATCATTATTCCCTAATAAGAAGAATAGTTAAATATTTTAATAAAAACATTAAAAAAAATTAAGTAATAACTTACCAAAGACATTTTAGCAGCTTTGGCATTGTTATCTTTTAGCATTGTGTACATGAAATTTTGTAAATTCTAAAACATAAAAAAATAAAATAAAATATTTATATGTAAAGTTTATTTATAAATCTTATTTACCCGATTTAATTTGGCATCTTTGTGCTTGGAATTAAGATTCTTTATGTCAGAAACAATATGGGATTCTAAAAATTTTCTTAATTCTTTATCTTGTGATCTGAGTAATCCAAAAAACAATGAAAGCAAATCTGTTGGAGTCAATAATTTTTTATTACGTAATAGAATGAGTGCTCGACAAAATGTCTGTAAAATCAGATAAATAATTAAATAATTTGCAATTGTAGGAAAAATAGTTAAGTTATTTTTCATACCATACGCATATCTTTATCTAATACAGGTCCATGAGTTTGCAGTAGATCAGTAAGTTCTTGTGCAAATGTTTTAAGTTCACCGGGATAACAATGTGCTACTTGAGCCATAAACATAACCAGTTCATCGAGACTTTTATTAAAATCTGATGGACGCAAGGTAAATACAGCCAATAATGATTTATAATGACGTTGTTGTTGAAGGAACTAAAATAAGTTTAAAAATATATAAAAATAATCTAATTATTTATAGCAAGGTTTTAATTAAAGGTATACTTCATCTTTATAGGAGGCCGGATCTCTTTTTATGAGATTTTGTAATTGTGGGAGGTTATTGGGCAACTGATTATTGTGTCGTACCATTATAAAACAGCTTTAAATTTTTTAAACATAGATATAAAAATTTATGGAATATACTAATACAATATAAATAATAAATACTTTCAAAAAAGTATTTGATGTTAGTAATGGGATAAGTTTATATACAGAAAAGATACATACAGTTTAAAGTGCACGTGATACTGAATGAAGCATACTAAACATTTAGAAAATTTAAAGCACATAACATGTGTAGATAAGTCTTATCGTTGGTAATATTTTTGGTTATTACCACCAATTTTGTTATTGATAAATAAAATATTTAAAATAGTTTCAAATTTTTTAATATTTTTCAGTTAAAATATTATTATGAATAATAAACATATTTTTTTAATATTTAACATAAGATATTAAATATCTTATTCAATCGAGAATAAGAAGAAATTTAATTATAATTCCAAGGTAGATAAATCTTCAATGCTGAAATAATTTATAAGCATAGTATTTGTAAATGATCGAAGACTTTACCTGATCTGTGCTGTGGTGATAAGGCTACCTTTAATTTCAGAACAACGCGGGCTTTGAATTTAAAATTAATATTATCAATAGCAACATCACAAATTAAGATAATGGTAAATATAGTTTTTTCTATTGTTTTAAGGGTTGTTCAAATTAATTTTTGAATTTCTAGTTTTAATTATAAATAATTGTTTAAATTATTTGTGTCTTCATATATAGTAAGTATGTAAAATTATTTTTATAACATGTTATAATTTATAATTATAATTGCATGTTAAATGGTTTTATTACAATTGTTAAGTTTTAACTGAATCATTCAATAAGTTACAGTTATTTTAAAGTGATTATTGAAAATGACTGGATTTGGTTTTAATACATCAACTGCAAATGCTTTTGGTTCTGGAATCAATGCTCAAACTTCATCTGGTCCATTTGGTAATTAGTATTTTATAAATAAGATTGAGGAAAAGTTTGCTTTTAATTTTATATTGACATTATAATAATTTTCCCTTATCATTTAAACAAATAATGAGAGATATAATTTATGATAAATTTAAAAAATAAGTCTTACAAGATTGATTTTTTTTGTAGGAAAATATGAGATTTTAATTTTATTAAATGGAAATTTAATCATTTACTCGCCTAAAAAGAGGCGGATTATACAGCAATTTTATTTTACAGCGCATTTCAATAATATATTTTCTTTCTTATCTTTGAAACATTCATTGGGAATCGTGCATCCATTAAATTTATTTTAAATTAAAAATCATGTTATATAATTCATTAAAAAAAAAAAAATTGACTTCCAAACTTATGTTTATGAGGTTATATATTTAAGTGGATGTAAAAGCTGAAGATAAAAGTATGACTTATATAAAAATTTCAAATTCAGGAAATTAAAATTGTAATACTTAGTATGAATATTTCTACATTAGTACAGATAATAAGATAATCCATATTTTTGGCACATATTGTGTATATTTTAATTTTGTTTATTTAATACATTTTTTATGCAGACACATATTCACAATAGTAGATTCTTAAAGTAGTAGTGTAAAAAATAAATTCAAAAATTTGATCCAGATTGATCAACCCTAACCCGTGTCACAAGAGGGTTTTAAGTTAAACTTAAAGAGTAGCTTTTTAGATTTTGCGGATTATTAAAAAAATTAGATTGACCATAAAAAATAAACATAATATAAGGTAATGATATAATTTGACCTTAAAATATATATATTTAAAAAATTAAGTATTTTAAATGAAAGTAAAGTTATTATAAAATTAATATTTTATTAATAAGCACTCTTTAATAAAAAATTATATAATTACTTTTACAATAACTTTATTGTCATTTAAAAACCACTAAATTATATAACTGGCTTTATATAACAGCCAGTATATTACCAGTTAAACCTATTTTATGCATACAAATCTACTTGTTTTTTTCCGATATTATGATAAAACTACTGATGTCATAAAAATTCTGAAAACAGATTTGAATTCAAAATTGTAGTATCAATTGAGAATCGGTTAGGTCAATTTTTGAAATTATATATTCAATCCAACCCATCCTTTAACCTCTAAGTATAGTTTTTATTTTTGAAAACTAAGTTTTGCAAAGTAATTTTGGATATTATAGATAAAAAAAATTTTGAAAATTGCCTGACTAATATTTAATTGACTTGATGCTGAATTGAAATTTGTTTTTAGAATTCTTATCACATAAATAATTTTGTAGCATTGTTGGAACAAAATTGTTGTTGTCAATAAAGAACAAGTTTTTTTTTTACTAAAAAAAGGTTGGTACACAGATACCTTTACCATATTCATCTACATATTATAAGATGTGTATATTTACCATATACACACCTAATCATACCAAATCAGTAATTATATGTTTTCCATCACCAATAACTTTTGATATTATTGCTAATTAGTTAAAAACTATAGGGTATAACTATAAAGAAAATAGTTCTGAATATTTCAATTGTATCATCTATTTAAACAGCAAGTGTTATTAGAAATTATTAATATATCTTTTGAAATGATTTATTACAATAAAAAAATAAATACAAAAAATTGTTTTTAAATTATTACAGATTTTGATTTTTAATATTTTAAAATATTAAAAAATATCATTTTTAACCTATTTTTTTGGTATTTTAAAGTTTATTTTTTGAATGTTCATAATAAAAAAAGTTGAATTTGTTACCATAACTGTCAGCTCAACTTCAAGTTTGAAATTTTCATTATTAAATAGAAAATTTTATGATAATTAAAAAAATAGTATTGTTAAGATTACTATGCAGTCAAGAAATGATATAATTACTATTTACTATAAATTTATCAAAAAAGCTCAATATTTTTTTTGCATTTTTATTGTAATAAATCAGTTAAATAGAATCATAGTAATAATTTCTAATTAACTTTTGGTGTTTAAAAAGATTCAAACAATTGAAATATGCAGAACTGAATTAATTTTAATGATTTACTTTAACTAAAAAAACAAATCAAAATATTGTTGTTAAAAAAAATTACTCAATTAAGTGTATTAATTGTGATCATTTGATGTAACGATAAAAAAAGTTGATCAAGCAAGAGCTAAGTAAATGATTGAGAGTCAAAAAAAAAATCACATAGTATAAAAACTAGTGATGGTAAATATCAAATAATAACTATCGAACTATTCGATAGTTGCACATATATTCGAATAGTTTATGATAAAAATAAAATATTTGGTGGTATAAACATAATTTGAACACAATATACAAACGTTAAAATTAAAAACGCGCTGTCCTCTTTATCGGTGTTATGCCTTTGCAAGACAAAAGAGCAGGTAATGCTAGACTAAGAACAGTACACATGGTATTAAGTGTAAAATAAGACTTTAGTATTTACGAAAAATCTGTAGCGCATAGAATAAACCTTTCCGATAAAACTGAAAATATATCATTAGTCATCGAAAAAAAGAACTGCTTTTTAATTTTCGACCCATATTTATCAGTTTTTACCAACGACTCACAAACTAAAAATAAATAAAATGGTACTTTTTACTATTATTAATTGTATAATAATTTATTTTAAGTATTCGCTAATTATCTTCTTATTATAATTTAGTGTACTTAATAAAAATTTTAGATAGAACTAATCGAATATTTTTTGAAACTATTCGCTAGCCCATTTAAATATTTTTTAAAACTATTCGATAGTCTATGTTAAAAGCACACTATTCGGTTGTATAAAAACAATTCGAATAGTTATTCGATAGTTTTTCAAAACTATCGTATACTATTTGATAGTTTAAAATATTCGAAAATGCCCATCACTAATAAAATCTCTAATATTAATAAGAAATTTTTTCAAACGAGGGGGACTACAGTGATGGGTTCCTTGATATTTATTAAAGTTATTGAATTTAAATGAAATAAAAATAAAATAATTAAAAATTTTTTTTCTAACTCAAAAACTTTTGTAAGGTATTTTAAAATAAAATAAAATACATAATCGAAAATTTTCACACAAAAATAGCATTCAGTAGCCATTTTCACCGTGAAGACAAAATAAAGTCTTAAAATTTTTTTTCATGATAAATTATATTACATTATCTATTATTTAAGATATATATAAAAGTGTCAGTATTTCCGGAACACTTACAAATATTTATTTGAACAAGTTAATTGCTTGTGATCAATTGTAATTTTGAATCCCCCACTGTAGGCAGGTAAAATGTCAGATTTATTAAAAAAATAAAATACATAGTAATAAGTAAATATCTCACGTAACTATAAAAAGAAAAGTTTTATTGATTTGATCATTTTTCAAAAAGTTATGGTAGTTTTAAATAAAAAAATTTTTGAAAATTAGCGATTTTTAAATTTGTAATTTTTTTGGAGATTTCCTCCATTTATGGGGAACGATGGAATTTTTTCAATTTTTGAAGGTAATGTCTTCGACTAGATACAATTTGTGATATTTTGATGTATCGTTGAAAGAAATCGGTTCAGTGAGAGCTGAGAGAAAGTGGTAACAGACAAATAAAAAAATAAAAAAAAAAAACATATAGTAAAATTAATACCTTCTCAGCTTCACATCGAATGAAGTCTGCCTAGACTTGATAAAAATTAATTAAGTGATATTTCAATTTTTTCACTAGTTTAATCACATTTATAATTATTGTTTAAATGGAATACTTATTAAGGTTAAAAAGAAAAAACTTTTTAATAATAATTAAAATTAAAATTATTTTATAGGTTTTGGAGCTTCTACTACGTCTGCTACACCATCATTTGGATTTGGATCTTCAGTAGGTACTGCTCCAACAACATCTTTTGGTTTTGGTGCTCCGACTACAATTGCCACATCATCTTTTGGATTTGGATCCACTACATCTGCAACACCTGCATTCAGTTTCAATACTAGTGGTGCTACATCCACTCAGCCACAATCTATTTTTTCTGGTTTGGGACAAACTCAACCTGGATTATCAGCTAGTATTAAATAATTATGAATTAAAATAAAATTTAAATATTTTACAAATAATATATTTTGAATAGCACCATCTTTTGGAGGAACTTTTGGCTCATCATTCGGAGCTAAACCATTTGGTTCTACTACCACAACAACAGCATCCCCTTTTAATTTAACATCATTTCAAGGTAACCTTATGATTAATCTATGTAGAGATCAAAATAATTACTTAAAACAAAAAAATGGTAGCACAGTGAGGTCGTGGCATAGTTAAGAAAATTATAAGTGATATCTGACAGTATTACAATCACTATCAAAAGAAATGCTTGGATGCAAATCTATAGATAGTGTTTGAATTTAAGAAATGGATGGATTAGTCCAAAAGCAACATCAACTCCTATTCCCTTAATTATACAATTCGTATCTAGTCGAAGACATTACTCTTAAAAATTGAAAAAAATTCCCTCGTTTCCCGAAAATGGAGGAAATATGCAAAAAAAATTACAAATTTAAAAATCGGTAAATTTTGTCATTTTTTTCACTTTTTTTTTCTTAAAGCTTCCATAACTTTTTCAAAAATTAACAAATCAACATAATTTTTTTTTATACTAAAACCTTAGATATTTTCCTTTCATTTGATATCATTTTTTTAAAATCTATCACTTAACCTACTCATTGGGGGGGATTTAAAATAGCAACTTTTTTACAAAAACTAACTTTTAAACTTAATTTTTGAATATGTTCTGGAAATACTGCGTCCTTTAAACATATATCAAATTAAAGCTTATTTTATGTGCTATAAAATGAAAAAAAAAATTTGTCCCGACACTTTATCTTCTACATTTAAACGGCTGCCGTAGTTAAAAAAACACTATTTTTTGTTAAAATTTTCGATTTTAAATTTTCAACTTAAAAATGCTATAACTTTTTGAAAAATGTATATATCAGCACAAATTTTTTTTTTCTAAAGACATTATAAGTACATATTTCATTTGACATACTTTTTATTAAAATTGGACAAATTACCCTTGTATAGGGGGCGTTCAAAACTTGAAATATTGTAAAAAACATAGATCTTTTTCAACTGAACTTTTGAAAATGTTCCGGGAATACTTTGTCCTTTAAACATATATCAAATCAAAGGTTATGTTATATACTATTAAATGAAAAAAAAAAATTTGTCCCGACATCTTATCTTCTATGTCCAAATGGCTGTCAAAAATTTTAAAAAAATGTAATGTTTGCGATAAAAATCACCTTTTATCAGGATGTTTTTTGTACTTAAAACTGCCATAACTTTTTCAAAAATGAACAAATAAAAATAATATTTTTTTGTATTGAAACCTTAGATATTTCCCTTTCATTTGATATAATTTTTTTTGAAAATCTAACACTTATTCTGCTCACTGGGGCGATTTAAAATAGTAACTTTTTTACAAAAAATAACTTTTTCAACTTAATTTTTGAAAATGTTCCGGAAATACTGCATCCTTTAAACATATATCAAATTAAAGCTTATTTTATGTGCTATAAAATGAAAAAAAAATTTGTCCTGACGACCTATCTTCTATGCGCAAAAGGCTACCGTATTAAAAATATGCTATTTTAACAAATTTTTTTTTTATTAATTAAACACTATCTACAGATTTGCATCGAAGCGTTTTTTATGATAGTGATTTTAATCACTGTCAGATATCATCTATACTGGACCCAACTATGCCACGACCCCACTGTGCTGGGTTTTTTAGATAAATTTTTTGAGCAGATTTCAAATTTGCAATTAAATTTTTCCATCACCACTAATTTTTTTAGATTATTACTTATTAGTTAAAATCGAGTATTAATATATTAAAAAATAACAAAAAAAATATAGGTTAAAATGAAATTCAACATCACAATACTGGATGAAATCATAGGTGAAACTAAGCACAGAATAGTTCTAAATATCAGCTAATATATATTATAATTCTATAATATCTGAATATTATAGAATACTATAAAATATAACTATACAGAATATAGCTCTGAAAATTTCAATTTTAGCTTCTATTTAAACACTAAGAGTTAAATAGAAATGATTGGTATTTCTATTGAAATGATTTATTATGATATAAATACAAAAAATATAATAAGTGATTTTAACAAATTTTTGGGCTTTTTTCATAAATTTACTGTTAATAGTAATTATATAAGTTCCTGGCCATTTATCATTTTAAAAGAAACCATTTTTTGAAATCTTCTTAAAATTTGTTATTTAATGATATAAATTTCAAACTTGCAAGTTTTTTATCTATGCAGCCATCTACATAGAAGATAAATTGTCGGGAAAAGTTTTTTTTTTTTAATTTATAGTATGTAACGTAAACTTCAATTAAAAATATTTTTAAAAGATGCAGTATTTCCGTAAAATAATCAAAACTTAAATTTTTGTGCAAATGTTGCTATTTTGAATCCTCCTTATGGCCAGGTTAACAGTCAATATTTCAAAAAAAAATATATATCCAAAGTAAGGTAAATACCTAAGGTATTTATATAAAAAATATATGTATATATATTATGTATTGTAATTTGTTTATTTCTAATTGTTTATTATAAATCTGAGTAGTATTTAGTTAAAATTGTATTTTTTCATTTAATTTATGTAAACTATGAAATTATTATATTTATTCTATCGCATTATGTTAAAGGGTTTTTTTTTACCCGTTTATAATTTAAAATAAAATATATATATTTTGGTTTATTCATTTTTTAAAAAATCTTTGCAATTTAAATAAAAAAATGTAAAAAATAACAAAATTTACCGATTTTAAAAACTGTAATTCTTTTTATTTTTTGAGGATTTTCCACCATTTACAGGAAACAAAAAAATTTACAATTTTTTGAGGTAATGTCTTCAACTTGATACGATTTGTAATCTTTTAACGTACCATTGGAACAAAATCGGTTTAATGAAAGCTGAGAATATAAAAATAATCACATGGTAAAATGAATACATTTTCAACTTCACATTGAAGCTAAAAATATATTTAATAAATTTACTATTAATGATTTATTAATTAATAAAAAATTTATGATGGAAAAAGGAAATCTTATTATTATTATTTACAAATAATATTAAAAAAACACAACATTAAAGACATTAGCTTTTTTTATATAAAAAACTATACCCCTACTGTTCTCTAACTATTAAAAACTATTTTATTGTTGTACTTAACCACAAATTTCTGTACCATTCTCATAATTTGGTTTTCTTTATTTAAACATAGCAATTTCACCCAATTGAAACACATTTCATGTTTAGAGTTTAATTTGAAAATTTAATAATTTTAATTGACTATTCCATTTTATTATTTTAAAATTATTTTTTTTAAGGAAATACCACTCAACTACAGCAACAACATCAAACGCCAAATATAAATGATACAGTTATTAATTCAATTGTAAACTGTAAATTATTCGATGATGAGAGAGACCAAATAATTTGTAAACTAAACTTATTACAAGCATGTTGGGGGACTGGGAAAGGTATAATGAGCTTTTAAGGAAAAATATAATGTTTATTAATTATTAATATTTTATCAGGATATTACGCATTAAACAATACTCCGCCAGTTGAATATACTCCTCAAAATCCACTTTGCCGGTTTAAAGCTATCACTTACAGTGTCAAACCAACATCATCTAGTCGAGACGCCCTTGTAGCTATTGTAATTAACAAAAAAATGGATGAGATAAGGTGATTTTTACAAACATATAATTATATTAAATAATATCAAAAGTCGATAGAACTATTAATAGTTTTATCAAGATTTAACGAGATCTTATGAACAATTATATTAGATTTAGAAAAAAACCTATTTTTTTAATCACACAAAAGAGGTGCCAGGGAGTGCATTACACTTACAAATTTTAAATTAACACCCCCATTTATTTTAAGGTACAACAAAATTTGAAAAACATTTCTGTGGTGATATTAATATATTAATTCTATTTCGTATTATTTAATTCATATTTAATTTAAACTTAGATTTTGTTATAGAAATTAAATTTTGATTCTATAAAATAGGAATGGGTCCAATATTAGAAAACCAAATGATACCTGGTGTACTTAGTTAATATATCGGAAGTAATTGAAATTTGGCATCACTTATAATTAAATTATCTAATTATCAAAACAAGTTCATAAAAGTAATCAAATTTTAATTAAATAAGAGATAATTTTTTTTTTGGAAAACATAGCTTTATATACAGTGATCTATTTATCATAACCCTTCAATTAATCACAAAATAATAAATATTGATAAAAAAAATTTGACTTTTTTTAGTTTACATACATTATTTGAATTATTAACTACTATTACATTTTAGCATTATTTTATATAACTAATTTTTTTTAAATGGCAACATACATATTTAACTAGCTTATAAAATAGTCATTTAATTAAGAAAATGATTGGTCAGTAACAACTTTTGGACGAGTGCTTCAGAAGTTATGACAATTTTCAAAAATTAACTAGGACTAGATATAATTATTAGATATTTCTCGGGCACACTCTTCCTTCATTTCAAATGTGAGAACATTAACTACTTTCAAAGTACTGATTTAAAAATTGTTATCAACCCATTAAATTTTATTTTATAAATTAGTTAAATATGTATGTTGTCATTAATATTTAAAATCAATTCAATATCCCTATAAGTTATAAGGGGTAAGGATAAAATGAAGTTAGTAGTTACATAATCAAAATATGTATGTAACAAAAAGAAAATCAACAGATATTAATATTATATAATTTTTATTATATAATTTTTATTATTTAATAATTATTTTAATAAATAAATACAATAGTAATTGTTAAATATTCCAAAGAAAATAATATTAATTTATGAAAATGTTGGTTTTTTTTTATTGGAAAAAAAAAGTTTGGTTTTTCTGAGTTAACTGATATGGCCCATCACTACTATAGATATCATTATTTTAAATTTTTCTAATATTGTATTAAAATGTATTGTTATTATGAAATTTAAGTTAAATGTTTATTATAAGATTAAGGGCATGTAGTGGTTAAAACTTCAATAAATCTTCTTGGAGTTAATAATTTTTGCACCCCTGAATTTTTGATTAAATGTGTGCCTAAGTATTTATGATAATTATTTTAAATGTTTTTAAAAACTTTTGCTTGTGTTTGAGAGGATAGGAAAACTTAATACTCAGAAGAACAGAATGAAACTCTGATTGAGCTTGGTAGGCTGCCTACATTAAATATAAATTATTATTTAAATATAGATTATTAAAAGAGATCATCTAAATTTTAAGTCATGGGAAAATCAACTTAATAACAAAATTAAATCCTGAATATTATGTTTAATATTACATTTTATTCTGTATGTATTATGATTTTATTAATTACAGAAAACAAGAAGCACAGTTAACATCAAATTTGTTTGCTATCTTGGGAAGTAAACCAAATTTTAGTGTACATTTAGATACATTAAAATGGTATACAGAAACCAAATCTATGGCTCTCATATTTGTTGAAGAAAAATTACAAAATGGTAAAAAATTATATTATTATATGAATACTTCAACTGTAAAACAATTTATGTGCATCATTATAATTTTCTATGTTAATTATACTAGTCAACAAATTTTAACTTTTTTGTACAATTCTTATTAAAAATACATTTCTTAACCAATTATTTATGTTAATTTTAAATCACTGTGAAAGGTAAACTTATAGTCTAATTGTTTTTAGATAATGATAAATCAGGACCCACTTTAGTGATGTATTTAGGAATTTGTTTTAGAAGGAGTCCAAATAATTTTCAAAATGTAAAGCAATGAAGTTTACTCTGTCTTCTATTATGAGTTTATTTTAAGGGTCAGGATTTTATTATGATCCTAAAATTTTTTTTGTTAAAATGTTGACATAGCCACTGGGGTTGACAACCGGTCATCAAAGTTGTAATGGAGGTCATATGAAAAAATAGATGGTCAGTATAGGATTAGATCCTGCAACCCAAGGCTCTGTAGAGACAAAAATTACCAACAAGCCATTGCGCACATACATTTCACGTGTCAATACATTTTTGTTTAGGCTTATAACTTCGTGTACAACTTTGAGAAACTGTAATTATATCAACTTATACAAATTAAAAATAGCTATTTATGTTATATAGGTAATTCAAAAAGAGTATCAAGTAATGATGTAGTAAATTATTTAATGCAACCTGCTCCAAAGCAACAGTTGACTACTATGGGAGTAGAAAATATATTTCCATATGCAGGATTTACCGAAGAAAACTTACGTGAATACTTTGAAAATCCTCCAGCAGGTAGTATCATTGTTTTTTCTTTCTTTGCTTATAAAGTAAATTGCATTATTTTAATAGGTATTGATTTAAGAGTTTGGAAACAAGCTCAAATAGACAACCCAAACCCCACAGTATTCATTCCTGTTCCTATAGTAGGATTCTCAGAGTTATGTTGGAAATATAAGTGTCATAATGAACAAGTTACTGTACACAAAATGGCTCTCAACAGTATTTCTGATCGTCTAAATGAGTTAGCTAGAAAAAAAACTAGAGTTGAATCAAAACTTGAACAATACACTGATAAAATGGATCAGTTGACCCATAGAATAGTTAAAGTTTTAGTTGGTCAAATGGTTATATTAAATGCTGGAATGGCTCTAAGACCCGAAGAAGAAACTATTAAAAATCAACTGGAAGTATTGTACAATGATATTAATTCACCTTTAAGGTTTCAGGTAAGATTTATTTTTAAATAATATACTGAACACCCTGTATACTTAGAGCAAAATATAAAATTCTTCTTTTTAATGCTCTAGCTTTAGACTGTATGATATAAAATGTGCAGAAGTATAACCAGGATTTTGTGTAGGGGATTATACATAATTATTTTTTTATTATCTCCATAAAAAAACATATATTTTCACCATATAATGGGATATTCCCATATCCTTTCGTGGGTATGACCATGAACATAAAGTAAATTAGATTCTCAATTGTTGGGTTATCATAATTAATTTAAAAAAAACTATTAAAAAAAAAAATACTTAATTCTTGATGTAAAGAACTATCTTGTGTTGAAATTTGATTAATATAGAGAATTTTGTCTGATATACTTAAGATACACTAACTGTATTTTCAATTGAAAATATCATTTCTTTTAATTCTTAATAACTTTCTTTCCTTTACTAATTATGACCCAAAAGCACGAAAAATCTTTATCCGGATATAGAAGTCAAACCATGTTAATCATATATTTTTGAAGTCGTTGAATCGGAATCTGTAGTCTATAAAAACCCAGCACGTCAAGGTTTTGATTTTCAAAGAAACACGTAAAACGTAATCATGTGAGTTACGTGTTGGGTTGAATGAAGAACATATGTAAAGTGGACTTACTTAGCTCTTCATGAATTTCGGGCTAAGTCATATCGCAGCGGCGTGAATTATAGACGACGTAGGCCACCCTGAAGTAATGATTAACGGCAGTTCTAGAGTGACCCACAATAATGCCGGTATTGAAAAAAAAAATAAGTAGACTTAGCTTCGCCCTGAACTAGACCGAAGCGGTGTTGTTAACGAGCATGTATAAGTACTCTCCTCCACAACTCGCTGTGATGGAGTCGGAGATTCTCCTAAAAGACTTCATAATCTACCTGGGCCTTGTCATCGGTAAGCAAATTATGTTCGGGTCGCACAATGCTCGTGCGGCCTAGCGTGACCGAGAGATTCTGCTTAGAGTGCAAAAAAGGGCGATCATAAGGATCGCATCAGCTTACCACATAGTCTCCGGTGGGGTTGCCAGTATTCTGACTTCTCTATCGCTCGCTGACATTTTACGGTGAGGCGTAGATGATGTGAGCCACCCCAAAGTAATGCTTAATGGCATTTCTAGTACAACCATAAACTTGAAAGAGGAAAAAAACGATTAAGATAAACACATTTTACGAGTTTTTTTTTTCGAAAATTAATTGACCCTAAAACACATATGATAACATGCTCCAACTTCCAGACTAGAAAAAAGATTTTTTACACGACTGAGTAATCAATAATTTTTATATGGTCATAAAATTTTTTTCTAGGGAAAGTTAACAGAAATCGCTACTCTTGTTAGATTAAAGAATTCAGAGTTATCGGATGATTCTAAATGTAGTACAGGGTATATTCCACAAGTTGCTGAAGAAATTAAGCATGTATGTAAAATTTAATTCTTGTTATTGTGTTTATTAGTAATGTAAAATTATTTTATGAAATACATTTTATTTAAAGTTTCTAGAACTACAGCAAAGAATGATCGCAGAAATGCAAACTGTTGTTAGAGAAGATTTTAATGCCTTAAAACTGATGAAAGAAACCTTAAGTAATGTTAAATAAAAATATTAACTCAATAAAAAAAAAAATGTATTTTTATCAAAAATTTGCTGTATTATTGGCATAAATTTTAGTTTAAAAGAATTGATATAAAACTATGTGATTTTTTGTACAAGTTAGTATGATAAATTCCATTTTATTATTTACAGAAGCTAACTACTTTTTCTCATTAAAGAACATTTTTATTTGGTATTTTTTAATTTAGTAAACATTTTTCTACACTGAGGTGTATTGATAACTCTATACCTATTTGTTATTGTATGAATTTTGATATACAAAAGGAGGATTAATATTTCTTTAATATTCTAAAATTGTTTAATATTTCTATAATATTGATTAGCATAGTGTGCATAGAAACTACGTGGGTTGGACTTCACTCCCAAATATTAATTGAATTTTTGGATAAGGGGAAATAAAAAATGTGGTAAAGAAAATTCCATTTAGGTATATCATCTAATGAAATAGACTCTATAGTTATATTTTTCAAGCTACTGCCTTGAAATTATTTCATAGAAATATTAAATTGGAAAATTTGCGAGATTGTTCCTTTCGTAAATGGCCTGAAATTAAAAAATACACTATTCGATTCTTTATCTATATTTATCTTTACTAAGCAAATATTTCGATTCATTTAACCGTTTATATTGATAATGAATTATTGAATACTAAAAACACAAATTAAATTATTAGCTTACTTTTGATCATTTAAATGAACGCGAGAGATAAGTAGGAGACCCCAGTAATAAAATAAATAATAATATTGTTGAGAGATCCACTGGGAAAATCTCGATTTCCTGTTAGGTCTTTCTTTCCTTAAACACGTAACCTCAAATGCACATGCATATATCCTTTAATATGTTTCTTGTATATTTAGAGAGCATAATTAATAAGGAAAAACAAATTTGTAGTAAAATAGAATAAAATATTATAACTTATCTCGAGGAACCTGAGTCTAATTGTACAATTTATTTTATAAATTAGATTATTAGAAAAAATATTTGATTTTTTTTCCTGAAGCTATTGTATTTTAGCAAACTTTCATTCTATTAATCAAACTTGCAATCAATTTTTATTTGGTTGTAATATGTTGTAAAATTCTCATAGCATTCATCTTGATAATATGTTTAAATTATGAATATAAATAAATATATTATCGTTTATTAATTATTACAAAACTGGATGTAAGCAATGTGGTTTTAGAGCTGTATACACGATTGTTATGACCTATTAGGAATTTATAAACGACTAATAGACTAAATAAATCTTTAATACACAAACGCAACTATAAAACCGGTCGGTTAAGTGAAAGTACAACGCCCGGTAAAGTTAGTGGTACCAATGATGATGTTGTCGAAAATACCATTTGTGGTATAACACTAAAATAATAATAACAATAATAATAGCACGATTAAAACACACCTGCGATTACATTGCTTTAATGTAACAAATCAACCACGAAAAAAGTCTTCCTACGTTTTACTGAAGTAAGGGTAAGACATAACAATTTGTGGTTTCTATTTGCTAAAATTTCTTCATTTTTAGACAATAGTGTGAGAAAAATTAAAAACTTTATGTTTAGCGTCTAACTCCGTTTACGGGATACAATTGAACAATGCAAACTCTACAAACAATTTAAATCATTATTATTCTATATTATTGTCATCACAATATAAATGTAGGTTATACCGTGTTGGGTGGAGTGAACAGATTTCTTGTAGAGCATAAGGTATGCACGGTGATATTGTGTAACTAAATGAACACGAGTACAGTCGGGGTATAGTAAAATTAATTTATAATGTTTAGTAACCTAGATCTAGATTTGAAAAAAAAAAATAATGAAGTGTTTTATTTTGGTTCTATTTTTATAATATTTAAAAACAATACGAATGATTCGTCGGCAGAGAGTAGGAGTACGCAATGGTTAAATAATATTTGTTATATTATGTGTTAAAAAAAAATGTATAGCAGTTCTACAGTGATTTAACGTATGACTTGTAAATCACTTTATTGTATTTTTGTGTACATTCCCAAGACTACTTATCTAATTGAAGGCCTGATAAATTAAAAATACATTATTATTTTCAGTTCGTCCCTCGAGCAACGTTATATCATTAAGTATTGAAAAATGTTGCGATGTACTCATTTGCTAAAAAAACAAATGATAAGAATTTTATAAAAAAAATTCACAATAGAATGGCTATTAACAAAAAAAATATTTTAAAGAATTATTATTATTAATATTGTTATTACTGCACATCGGTAATAATTTTATTAAAATAGTACACAGTAGCGTATTTAGGAGCAAAATTATTAAAAAACGTNGGAGTATTGTTATTACTGCACATCGGTAATAATTTTATTAAAATAGTACACAGTAGCGTATTTAGGAGCAAAATTATTAAAAAACGTGTAAAAAAAAAAACCTGTTTAAACATAAGTAAACAATTTAATAATACATGTAATTTTAAAAATGTTTGGTGAATTAAACACGTTTAAAACGTAACAAACCTATTTAGGAGGAGGTAATGGGCTTAATTTAAAAGGTATTATAGGAGTAAATTACTTTTTTAATCAATTTAACATATAATTTGGACAGCAAATTTTTAAATATGCTTCTGATATAATCGATTACTTAGGTATTACGTTTTCTTAGTTGGATATTGACAGTTAAAATTATGTTCTTTAGGTACATGCTACAAAATAAAAATCAAAATAAACGAATAGAGCGAAAGTAAAATAAATATTTTAATTTTCATAATTATAGGCAGTATTGCTTAGGGCAAAACATAAATTGTTTGATCTAAACTAAATATAATGTAACATAAATTTTATGAGAGCCATCACTATTTCCGTGAAAGTTTTTTTGCTATTAATTGCAGTAATGTATAAAGACTGGTAGCGATATTGAAGTTAACTATTAATGAATTCATTAAATATTATTATTTAAATAATTTATACACATATGTCTGTACAAATTAGAGTTCGAATATAATTTTAATGTGAACTAATAGCCATATAGCCGTAACATATTATAAAAAACATATTAGAGTTCAAATTCATAGGCGGAAATGATTAAAAATTTTGGTGGGCTAATGATCAGTAGCATACCCAGGGTTTTAGTCGGGTAGAGTTTTTATTATAGGTTAATAATAAGCCCACTATATAAAGGAACTAGTTTTGGAGGGAAACTTTAGAACCCTACCATCACATACGCCATAGCTAATGATATATTTAAATATTTCCACTATCCTAAAATATGTTTTTGTAAACAATACATAAAATTAAAAAAAAAATTTGAGAGAGGTGAAGCTAAGCCCCCCAAGTCACTTATATTTACCAGTATTCAAATTTAAACTCGAGATACATTCCAAAACATATTAATCTAACACAACCCGATCCACTGTATATTTTAACAAATTAAATGCGATAAAAATACTATCAATACTCAGAATATCAAAATGTAATATATTTATAAGTAATGCAATTATGTAATACAATTGTTATTTAATTTGATATGAATTCTCAGGGCTGTCCTTAAGAGCCAGCAGTGTCTAGGGCCTAGATCTCATAGTTTTATATGTTATGCACTTGTAAAAAAATAATGTGAATTATTTAAAATAACAAGCGTACATTAAGAGCTCTTAAAAATAAAACCTTAAACAAATTTCTCGGAAAAGTATTTTAGTTTTCTTATTTATCAGACTAATTTACGATGTTTTAAACGTAGTTGAAAAAATAGTTGACTCAAGATGTACCAAAATGTATGTTTTTTGCTTGGTTAAAAACGCTTTGTGTTTGATTTTTTATGTAAATTAAATACTGGAAAAAAAACTCAAAATTTAAGCAAATATTTCTGTTTATACAGGTCAACGTACGATACATTTATAACACGAAAGATATAATATGTAAAGAAATATATACACATGATATGTAAAACAACACATTATTTAGAATTATTATTTTTATCAATAGTAAAATAATTAATCAGAAGCATATATAATTGCCATAAGCAGAAATAGCATACTCATACGATCTAAGTAACCTGAGGGTTTAATTACAAAATTTTTTCTTACGTGTACATGTAGATAAAACATATTATATTTTAACTCAATCAATTGAAGTCTAACCACTTCAGGCTTCGTAGCAACATCAATTTTCATGAATTACTAATCAAATGTTATATTATACATGGGTAAATCAGAACGCGACCTAGACCTTATTCTACGAATATACTTTAGTCATTAGTACATATTTTTTTGTAATTGTAATAGTGACTACAAAACAAGATGACTCGTTCAGAAATGTCAACGTGCATCATAGGGATAAAATTATGCAAATTATTCATACCATATTAATTATGTTTAATCCGAATTTAACGTTATGAAATACTTTAACAATCATCCAAAAATAGTTAATGCTATCAAAGTAGCTTTGTATAATAAATATACATTTATTCATTTGTAACCTCTTTTAGTTGAGGTATATTCACAAAATTAAATAAGAAGTGTAGGACGACATAACGGATTTAATAAGTATTGTGTGTTTTAATTAGATCAACGCCCCCAAAGCATTTATGTCCGAAAGTAAGCTTTACTTGCAACATGCTCATGTAATTTAAGTGAAAATTGGTGTATAATGAAAATTATTGCTTATTTATCTTTAAAAGTATTATTAAAATCTATAGATTATAAAATATATGTCCCAAAAATTTCAAGGGTCAGAAAGTGAAAATTAAGTTTATAATTAAAAATTGTTTAACGTAAAAATAATTAAAAAAAAAATTAGCTTATATTAACATTCAAATAAAGATTTTTTGAATAATAGAATAATTAAAAGGAAAAATATTTAATCGTCTCATCTCTAGACCTGTACTTGAGCTAGTCTACTAGTAATTATTACACAATTATTCCCTCTACTATACTTTTTTGTATGTTACAAATTTTTGATAAAATTATTCGTAAATTTATAATATTATGATGTAAATGATACAAATGATACAAATGTAATGCTTCCTTAAATTTTTAAGGGAACATTGCACATATGAGTCTAATATAGTGATAATCGGAATTGATGGGAGGACAATCCAACCAATATGATTGCATAGGACTTCACAGATATAGAGGAAATGCAAAAATTAGGCCTTTAATTACTATTAAAAGAGGATACAATAAATATATTTTTTAATTAGATAATACATTTATTGTAAATCTAGTGCGATAAATATAATTGAGACTGTCATCATTAATAGTAATGTGGAAATTCAAATTGTGATACTGAATGACTAAATATAACTTAAAATATAGGTAGAGATTATTTTAACAGAAATAAATCTGATGAAATACGATTGTATAAATGTATACAATCCGAATTAAAAATGTGTATTTAAATTTATTAAGAAAATTAAATAATTTAGTACTCTACAGTGCTCCAACTATAAAGCTCGGGGCTCGCGTGTTTGACACATTCAGTTTTCACTGGTACCTTCTAGAAGGGTAACTAGATTTTAAGGGATTTTAAAAAGAGTATCATAAAAAAGACTCAAATATAAAATTGCCACTTTTTAATTTGTTTCACTTTTTTTTTAATACATATTTCTAAATTTTATAATTTTTTATTATTAATTTTTAAAAATTTTAGTATCAGTTGTGCAAAATAACGGCGGTATTGACGAAAATATAGGACACAGGATTAAGGCCGGGTGGTTGAAGGGGAGAGAAATATCTAGTGTGTTATGCGATAAAAGAATTCCAATGAGGCTAAAAGGTAAGTTCTATAAGACTATAGTGAGACCAGTTATAATGTATGGTTCAGAGTGTTGGGTAGTTGACAAGAAAGTAGAGCAGAGACAAAAATACTTAGATGGATGAGTGGAACTACTAGAAAGATAGGATAAGGAACGAGCATATAAGGAGTATAGGTGTAGTGTCAATCGAAGATAAGATAGGAGTAAATAGACTTAAATGGTTTGGTCATGTTATGAGGAGAGAGGAATCGGAAGCTGTGAGAACAGTTATAGAAATGAATGTTGAGGATATGAAGTAGAGGAAGACCAAAAAAGCGATGGAGGGATGTTATTGATTGCGATATGAGGACGGCTTTGGGATTAAGGCGAGGAAAAAAAAGAAGAAGATTTTTAAACTTTATTGTAATAAGTAAATAAAAATATTTAATAGGATCTTTAGAGCTTTAAAATATCATATTGTCAACTTCCCCTAATTGTACATCCACTAGTAGTAAGTAATGACAGTTAGTAGTAACAGTTCGCAAACTAAATTTGTATAACTACGCTACTGAGTACAAATTACACTCAGATATATGTGAAGAGGATGTAGGAAACTGAATTTTATGGAAAGTAAATAATAGAGTAGACGACCTCATATAGATAAGAGAAAAAGGTTAGAGAAAACGAAAAAGGAAATTTTTAGAATATTATGATATGAACATTATATTAGTTATCTTTAAATATTATTTTGGATGATTAAACTTATCGTCAGATTGTTAATGTACTGTGTCAAAGACAAAATTTCTTTATGGGAATCATAGTTAAGCCTAAATAGTAAAATCTTGTATACACAGTGTTTACATAAAATAATTTTAGAGTATACGCAATAGGTATATAGGCGCATTTCTGCAGAATATACGTTGGTCCAGAAAATTATAAATAGGGAAATACATCTATATACCTTTTAAAATATCATAATTTGTACTAGATTTTGTTATTTCATCAATTCGTTTTTTGGAAATTCATATAACGGCCAATTGAAGAAACCATACTTATTTTGGGAACAATGTTACCTCTATCAACGTTTAACCACATACTATAAAACATACACAATTAATTCATGTCAATTTGTAAGAAAATAATTTAATTTGTCATTCATTAAGACGTAATAAGTAATGTTTTTTTTAACTATATTTCGAATCATCATTTTTAGATTAATTTGCTTTCTATGATCCTATAATGATAGCCTAAAAATTTTTTTAATTAAAAGTAAGTCATATTTTAAATAAAATAATAAGCTTTCTTCATGTTTTCTTTATTTTTACTCTAATTTAAATTTTTTATTTTGAAAACCTTATAGCTATGATACGAAGCTGAGGAGATATTAATTTGACCGTGATGTGTTCATTTTTTATTTAGATTTCTTTTGTGTCTGTTACTACTTTTTCTCAGACTTCAATGGACCGATTTTTCTAAACGATTATAAATTGTATCTACTTGAAAAGATTACCCTAAATATTTAAAAATTTTCCCTTAATTACCGTAAATGGTGGAGATCCTCAAAAAAATTATGCTTTTTAAAATTGATAGATTTTGACATTTAAAATTTTTTTTAACTGTCATAACATTTTGATAAAATAACAAATTATTTTTAATTAATTTTATTAAGTATAAGGGATGAATAACAAAAAAAACTTAATAATTATTAAATCAAAAAACATATAAAATTAAAAAATTCTATAAAGAATTTTTTATTTGTGTTAAGTATAAACATACGATATTTAATGCTTAGATATAGAAACAAATTAAAAGTATTAATTGTAATTATTTTATCTGTCAACCAATTTGATTTACTATTTGATGACGCTGATTTTTTTAACAAATTAATCAAAAGTTTATTTGTATATTGTCGTTTTTAAAAGTTGATAATGGTTCATGATTATCTAACATCATTAGTCTAGATAACACAATTTCAATATTTTTTTGTATGCACGAATGAAAAAAAAAATTACCAAGTGACACATGATTAAATAAATTAAAACAAAATATTTTATAAATAAATTTAATTAATGAGAAAACGATAAATTCATTTTCCATAAAAATTCAAAGATATGAGGGTTGAATTAAAAAATAACCAACGAAAAATAAAAACAATCTAAAACAACTTCTTTTAAAGAATTGGTGGCACTAGAAATTTCGTAGTAGGTGGCCAGGTTCACAGTAATGTTTTTTAAGAAAATAAGTGTCAATAGTCTTCTCTAAAAAAAACATATCCCCTTAAAAATGTATGGAGTGGAATATAATTCGAATCTAATATAGATACGTCAAGAAATTTTTGAGCGATGAAGAATTTTGTAATTTTTATATCAAAAGAACTGAAAAAACATCGTTGATATATTAGAAAATTGATTTTCTCTTTTCGACTACGCCGATCAACAATATAATTGACTTTAAACGTTATTCATAAATAGTATTAATACACGGACAATTAAAAAAATATAAAATTATTTATTTGAAAATAAAAGTTTATTCCAGATCTTTGAAAACTAGACACTCGATGAAAAATATCTCCAAAAGGCAACCTTTATGACATAAAATAATGTAATTATGATGTAAAAGTTTGTTTTTACGTATACTTGGAATATTCATAAAGAAAACTACTGACGGCCAAGTTCATTGCAATGATTTATGAATTTGGCGCTCGCACGACTACTACATCGATAACGGACAAATTTTAATAATAGCGAACATCCGGTTCACTGCCAGATAATATGAAATTCATAATCAGATAAATAAATTCCTACACTCGGCGCATTCCATTAGAGACAGCACACATTTACTTCTAAAGTTATGCAAGTCAACGTAATATAAGCGACAACGATCGCTGTATAAAATGCGAGGGACATATCAGAAAGATATTCCGATTAGATGTATTACAAGCGTATTTACAGACATACACATTACATATTATGGACGCCAAAGACCGGTCCTCAACACGTCGGTGGATTGGTATTTAGTAGTGTAATAATAACTTAAATTCAGACGAAAGTGAAATGTGCTATACCTTACGCACTGCACACACACTCACAAGAACGCGCGCTCGGTGACTTTGCGCAGCTCCACCTAGACTGCCAGACATGCACATGTCCACATGTATACGCCTTAGTGGTCGTCCTTCAACTCTTTCTCCCGTGTAAACGGAGATCTCCTACCAATGAGGGCCGGCGTGAAAAACCCTAAAACGCCCGATGTCGCAAACCACGCTAAAACCGCACACGGTTCTTTAAAACAGATACGTACAATAAAAAAGTGACGCCACCGTAATAGCAGCGTTTACCCCCGCGATCGCTCGTAGCCTACAGCCAGGTAATGTTCTTGCGAGCTCCTCGACGGTTAGCACAGTCAGTATCGTACTAACAGCGCCGTCGTCTCAATCGCCGTCTCTAAGTAAATCGAATACAACACTGTAGTCAGGTGCGTTTTTGTAATTTATGTAATTTAAGTGCGAGTCGGTCATCTCGGCTCAGAGTTTATTAACCGGTCGACAGTATTATATCTAAAGAAAATATTATACCAGCGTCTGTATTCTTATTTATTGCACTCGCAACGCTACAGTTTGGAAAAACGGGACATGAACTGTCGATTCTAATACTGAAAACCTTCAGCAGTTCTCTATACTAGAATTTAAACACATTTTATTTAGCGTAAGTATCATTTTATTCGTTATTTTTTGTATTCAACGTGTGCTGTTCTTATAGGAAAGGTACTTACTACAAAACGTTAACGGTAGAAAAAATTAAAACAAGTTTACTTTTTTCAAATTGTTTGCATTTTTATCGTTATATAAAATTGAATTTCTAAGCGCTATCAATTATTTTTAGTTTATTGTAGACGATCACACTAATATCGAGCGCAATTTGATAAATTGAAAAATACGCCATATATAAATTTTTTATATTTTTGTAGGCACTACCTTCATTGATATGACGATTGCATTGATTTTTAAAATATCGACACATTCTTTGAGAGTTATATCATGTAATCACTTTCCCTACCAAAATATATAAATTATGGTAGACACCAAAATAACTTTGGTTAATGGATAGTTTTTTCCTGGGATAATTTAATGAGGTAAATTTATCAATAAAAAAAATTAAATATAACAAAGAATTGAATTTTTATTCATTATAAACCCACACGTAATAATTAATTAGTGCCGCACATATACGATGGAATTATTATTTTGTCGCACAAGAATCCTATTAAATTATACATAAGATTAGAGCAATCCGCAATTATTCAAAAAAAATACTAGTAGACCATTGAGCATTATAGCATTTCATTTTTTTGTTGAAATTTTTTATCCGATGACGGTAAGCAAATTTATCTCGCATGAAGTTAATGCAGAAATATAAGGCAACGTATTGAAACTTTCACGTAAATCACGTATCGATTTTTAATGGATAGATGTAAAGAACTAANCTAAGTAAGCAAATTTATCTCGCATGAAATTAATGCAGAAATATAAGGCAACGTATTGAAACTTTCACGTAAATCACGTATCGATTTTTAATGGATAGATGTAAAGAACTAATAACGGTTTTATTTATACGGTAGAGATTTGAACGCAGTGGCACAATGGTCAAGACTCACGAGTATACGCTTATAGGCGCCATTCACTTATTATATACTCGATAGAGTTATTTTCTATCCCATTATGTTTTGCAGTTTGTTTCAAAAATAAAGTAATTTTAATACAAGCGATCGAATTCTGAATCATTTCCGGACTAAAAAAACATGAACTAAAACTTCACATGAACCGTGTCTTAATAGTGGAAGTAAAATCGGAAATTCGTTTTTATTTACGCTCACAAACCATAAGTTACTACATTATTGAGATAAAAAATTTTATCGTGTAGAAGGTGATAAAACGACTTCATACTATTTATCATGGAGTGTTCAAATAATTTCATCTTTATATAAAATAGTTTAATATCTCTCTCTTGGGTTTTTCCCATGTATCCTCTTTGTACAACATGAAAGGGTCTATAACAGTAGATATAAAGATTATTTAACTAGATAGAGTATGATTTGTAGTGTAGTTTGTAAACAATTTTGAATTTGCAAAATGGCCATGAACTACAACAATATAACTATATTATTTAAGAATATTTACTAGCCTTATGACGGTTTAACTGACAAACAACGTCCATCCTAAACAAAAGACATTGTTAGATGCTATTTATAATGATATTATTTTTTATCGATTAACCTTCGTCTATTGTCAAACATCACATTGATTGTACTTACAATATGCAACTTTCTTTAGACACCCCACATTTAATCATTTAAAGTAGATCTCTGATCTCACATCGTGAGTGAACTGCACTTTTTACAGTTCATAACAACTATTATTGTATTTATACGTTTAATCATTACTCCTACGTTATGCAATTTCAAAATAAATTTAAAACACTTTGTCTTTTTGAAAATCTGCATAATCAAAAATGACAAATGGAAAACACTAACCTACTCATAGTCAAGAGGTATGTAAGTACGTATACCTTCGTACCAAGTTATGTAATTTTGAAGATCTCCATAAATCTAATTTATATAAAACATAAAAGCTACAGGAAGCATGTCTTCCACTCAAAAAGATAAAGTCTTTTCAAAAATGTAATAAGCCAAGTCTAAAAATGCGACTAACAGCAAAAACTCGATACGATTGTCTAGTACACAAAATATGTAATTGAACTTTTATGAATATCTTTTAAGAAGCATCATTCGAAAAATTTGATTGACAAAATAGTTAATATAAATTCTAAATACTTAAATACACTAAAAATTATTTAAAAAATGAATAGTTGTTGTTGGTTTAATAGAAAGGACTCAGTTTTCTACATTTATTCTATGGCTTAACTCATTTAACACGTTGATGGACAGTTAATGACATGGTATTTTACATTTTTAGAATAGTTTAGAATAGTCAAATTTTAATATTACTGCTACAACAGTAATATATGATTTTATCCATCAATGTGTTAATTTATTTATTTTGTACGCTAGATCATCAATATTATGTTCTACGTTACTTAGTAATACAAAAAAGGAAAATGATTGCTCTATTTTTTATTTATCATTAAATCTGATATATATATATATTGTAACAGTTTTAAAATTTTACAGTGACGATGTTCATTTTTGCATTAGCAGTATAATCTGTTAAAGTTTTTTCTTTCTTTTTTAAAGTATATAAATAAATGAAGTATCTCGTTACAAAAATGCGAAATTAAATTGACACGACATAAAGGGTTGAATCATTTAGTTAATGTGTATTTGACAAATAAATTATTGAAGTGTAAATAATTCACTTTCACTAGTAATGTAACTAATTATGTCACGTTTAATTAAAGACACATTGAATACGATTTTTAGTAGTTTTTTCCATATAAAACAATAAATTTGTACGTACATTCATAACATACGACTGTCCTTAATCAACGATAATATTTCATAAGTTAAAAATGTTGTGCCCAACGCTAATGATATTAAAATGTCCTTAATTACAGTAGAAACTATAGCTCATTATTTTAAATTTATAGGCTACTTTTATCATTGTTCGCGAGTATAAGAGACAATCTTTCTTAGAACTTGTAACATTTTTTGGAGTCTCAATAGCTAATAGTCAATAGTGTAGTCTAAGAATTTCAAAAAATAAATAAAATCCATTTTTTTTTTGCTTGTTATGTTTACGGATATATCCACTTTCTTAGTTATGAGCTGACGTTTCGGACTCGTTGTAGAGTCCATCTTCAGAGTGATAGTTACAGGTTGTAACCATAGACAAGTATACTAAGTGTACTACAGGTTGTAATTATACTGTTACAACTATGAGACTGTACTATCGCTCTGAAATGGACTCGGCAATGAGTCGAAACGTCAGCTCATAGAAATAAACGTAGATACATTCGTAAACATTTTAAGCAATACAACAATTTATGAAAGTCTTTTTTGTTTTAAATTTCAAATTTTTAAAGAAAAAAATGTTTTATTCAAATAAAGTCTATGTTACATAATTCTACAGGAGTGTAAATATGAATAATTTTATTTATACTCACTATAACAATGAGTATTAAATTAAAGTTTATAGAGTTACACATTACAATGTTTAACTGTAATCAATAAAAAGTCATTATAAATGTTATAATAAGACAAGATGGTTAACAATTATGGATCATATAAATACATCGATATTTTTATACATGTGTCTGATTAGTAAATCAAACTGTTTATATTTATATTATTAGTAATTATTTATTATATTATAACCACTATGATATTATCATAAAATACATTATTAAAAAAGAGGTATCGTTTATAATTAACTAAGCCCGAAGTATTGGACAGTAGTATATTTGATTGGCAATTACAAATTGTCTATTTTTGGTTTAGTATAAATTTGATACAACAAATATCTAAATTTTATTCACACAATATTTTGTTGCATAATACATTTGTACATAAAATCGGTTTAATAAGAAATAAAATAAAAATTCTTATAAGAAATCACTAATAAATTACTTTATTACATTTATTTAGAAATTTTAATTACAATTAATAAGTAATGATAAGAGTCAATGATAAGTGTGTTTTTTAATATTATATATTTAAAGCATTCATTTCTTTTCTTTTTTAATTACTTTATTCCTTTTTTGTAGTTATAATTTTATCGTTCAGTTTATAACCTCATTGAATAACCACATCTTTTTTTGCATGTAATGCCAATTTTAAATAGATTATTTCCTAAATATGTATAGTATGTACTATTGAATTAAAAAAAATTATAAGAAAATTATTTTAATCAATTTTTTGTCAAAATCGAATCAAAAATATATATTATTTAAATATTTATAGTATTTATTAGATAATAAATTATTTAAAATAGTCAATAAGTATAAAAAGTAACGACCACAAAAACAATGAGCAAGATACACCAGCTTTTTTTCTTTTATTCAAATCCTCTACTCAATACGAATATTACTGTATATTTTGAAAGTATAAAAAAATATCGAGCGTGATATTCGTGCACATTTAATTGTAGGATTAAAGAATGTCCGCCACACAATAGATATGTATTATTCAGTTGCTTTATCGTTAAATACGTTATTAATCTCTACTGAAAAAATATTCATTTGATTTACATATTACTATTATTTCACACTGCTATATATTTTCCATTAATTATAACATTGCTCAAAGTGCATTGACTAAATTATACTTTCTTCTATTGAATACCGTTTGAAAATGAGTTTTCAAGTTATATATTATAATATTCACGAAAAGAAATCAATGAGTTTGAGAGGTTCTTGGGCGATCAATAAATTAATTTATTCTTTTTATTTGAAGTATGAAAAATGGTCTTTTTCAAACTTTTTCTGTGTATGGAATTATCATCTGATTTTTTGAAAAAATGTTTAAATAAGCTTATTATCTCTAATATACTCTATTAAAATTTAATTTAAATCGGTTAAAAAAAAAAAATTTGAAAATGTTATTTTTTACGGGAGTGTGATGTTAAGGTATTTTTAAAATTTTTATAAACAAGATTTTTTTTTTAATTTTTAGTGCTCTTAGGTTTAACTAGATTAAAATCTAGTTCTTTTGGTGTCAGTTCAGTAATGAAAATTTTCATGGATAGTCATAA